ATATATTATTATTATTATTATTATTATTATTATATATATATATATGTATATATATATTATATTATATATATGTATATATGTATATATATATATATATATATATATAATATGCATAATTTTCTTCCAAGTATATCCTTGTAATTCAATTTGACCTAGAAGCACCATAATTCCATAGAGACATTTCATACATACCACCCATATATGTATACTATCAGTGTAGAGCTTTGTAGCAGTGCTTGACGACATTTTAGGCCTGGGTTTCGTGCGTATAACATGTAGCAAGTACATTGGCTGTGTGAAGTGTGGCAACACTACCAGTACTATATGCAGTCAAGACTAATGCGATGTGTTGCCTAAAAGTTAAACTCTCCCTCTACGTCAAGTACGGCATGTAGCGTGATTTTTATGTGTGTGAATGGGAATTGAGAATGCATTCTATCGGACAACTAACACAACCGCCCTTGAACCGACACCGCTTAGCCATGGTTTCGCATCCAACTTTGAGCGAGACTCACAGGCGCTATCGCATATGGGAAGAATATCCACTCACGGCGCGATACTGGGCAGTCACATTGGAGCCGATGAACACTCAAAAATAGGTGAGCGCAAATAACGGTTTTTTTTTTAGTATTTATATGGCCGCCTGCATACGTGTACAAGCGGTGATGTGGAGTACTTAGACAAATTGAACGTAGACGAAGTTCTTGGGGAAAGCACGCAACGTGAAAGCCGTTGAAATAGTAATGACACCAAACATGTGCGCTACTACATACAATGATACCCGTGTCTGTATTACGAGCAACTGTTCTTTAAAAAAACCCGCGTAAATAAGTTTATTTTGCAACTTATATCAGTTTATGGACGTGTCGTCAGTTTTTGGTATCTGAGCTCTGCCGTATAGAAAGCTTGTGTTGCCAATCGCGATGTACGATGGCACTCTAGTGAGGCGTGTGTCGTGGTTTCGGAGATATGAGACTCTGGGTTTGAAAGCAAACGGAAGTGAGTACCACGTTTCTATCCGTGGGTCTTTCCGTGATCACTAGGTGAGCAACTACATGGGCAAACAAAGTAAATGCGAGTTGCATGTCTGATTCACTGCATATTTGGAATTTATTTACACCTTACATTGATTTGAGAGCTGCAGATTATTTTGACAGATAGAGAAATACTCTATACTCAGGACAAGTTGGATACGCCTATGCGTGGTATTCTCAAAGCATATATCAGTATTGAATTACATAGAGGTACCCCATATACATCTATACGCTTAAAGAGTATTTACCCAATATATATTCTATATACCACAGTAAACTACTTATATTATTTTCACACTGCAGTTCATCTCACATGTCCACTCCGTAACTATATACAGTCTCCGTATGACAGTATGTCTCATATGCCTATGTCCCTTTCCTATTATAGTGGAAGAGCGAGACGACCGGCCACCAGTGAACTACATGCGAGCGCTTGACCACATGACACACCGAAGAAGGAACCGTGTACGTGTGCATTTGTTCACCATATTCGCCACTATTGATGACGAATTTGTGGTTGGTATGCCTCAAGAGGTGCGTTCTGCGTCTAAGCGCAGTCATGCATACGACTGTTGTTATTCGACCATACGCATATACGCTACACTTTCCTACTCGATCAAGTGTCTGCCGTGTGTAATCAGTGCCATATACAAGAAGGAGAGTGTGCTTAAACGCGCTCGACATGTGTGACCGCGTGCAAAGTGCCCTTGGTGCAGGAGTAAAACCCACACGGGTCCGTAAGGAGACATAGCTTGCTGACAAGTCGAACGCTATTCAGAGTCGAACATGGTCCATAACGGAAGAATCTGTGCATAAGAGAAAGACGCATTCTGTGATAGACTGCGTTGATCTCAAGTACTTCGTGCTCGTGCCAACTATTCCCGGCCGATCCCTCACATACTTGTAATAGTAAGGCTTCAGTTTGTATCCTACTAGACACATTGTCCACAAGCCAGCTGTAACCCCTAATCCCTACTCACTACTCGTTTCAGGTGCTTGGTGGGTTAGGTCTGAGTGGGCCTGGATCGCAGTACACTGGCGCCTTTTTAAGGGCTACGGCCGAGAAAACACGAGCACCGCCCCCACTCTTTCTGGACGAGCTTCTGAACTACTATATAACACACAAGGAGACCTTGATGATGGCTATACTACAACCGATTGTATGTATGAGTCACACGCATGTATGTATTGAAACAGCGTACAGCTACTAGTTTTGCGTCTAGCGGTATACAATTTCGAATCAGTGGACCAGTCCAAAGCATACCGTTGTTTGTCACGCCATGCACTGACACAGCACACGCATATATTGATAGTATTGCCTATTTGTTCTGCGTACTGCATAGTGTTCCAATACTGGTCTTTTCACTAAGATTTCACACGGAGAAGCATACCATAAAATCTCAGATGACAGTCCGCTACTTCTATATTTGTACTTGCTTATCCTCAGTAGTATACTACGCGTCTGCGCTATCAGAAACATGCTTGCTGTTTTCTGTTCCGATACATCCAAACACCTTCATACTATAAGTGTTGACCGGCAACTTCCTTCCTCTTATCATCTCTTCTCAGCATCCACAACCTTGTACTCGTACACTGTCACTATGGAAGAAGCCTGACTAGAGAGGAGTAACTTTCTTCTTCTCTTTCCTAACTAACATTCATATGTTTGTACACGTGTACTCTACACTACCGGAAACTATGGCACGCGACTTCTGATTTCATCACGTCCTTGTGCCCTTTTCATGCACTTGTACACCCACACTACCACACTGCAGGGCGCTTTAAGTGAAGACTCGCAGCTTTGAATATAGCGCGCTGCACATTCACGTCCTTCTAAACTTATACCATCACACTTGCAGGAGGTGCTGACTAGAGACTCGCACCGCTTGCAAAGCGTCTGTACACACATCGATGAAATGCTTACCGATTTCCCCGAGATAGCCTCGCGGATAGTGGTGCAGGTGGACAGTCGGGGGATGGCCCTGGCAGTACATCACACGTCCCCCAACATATCCTTAGCCACGGCTCTGCTTCACGAGCCCCCCTTTCAGGTATGATCGCACTCATTTCGATACTTGTTTTCGGGCAGGAGGTTTCTTCTGATGAAATTTTACGACGGTCTGTGTGTGTGAAGATAATGAGTGGAAGATACGGCTATTGGTTGTTGATCCTCTCGTCTATGTTCTAAAAAGTATGTGTAGTGGCTCGTAGGTACGTTTTCGTTATGCTGCTGTGTGTCAGACAAAATCTATGTACTCACATAGTGTGCATTCGCATATAACCATCCCGGAGTGTGCATTCGCATACAATCACCCCGGAGTGTGCATTCGCATATAATCATCCTGGAGTGTGCATGCAACTATAGTAAACATGTGGATATATGCACACCGAACTTGACTTGCTCGCACTCATGCGCTTATGTGACTATCACGAACTGAACGATGCCTCAGTATGCAAGGGTAAATTACATAAAATGTACGTCTGCATAAATAAATAAACCCATACCTACTATCATATTCTGTAACATCTGCTTCTGTACAGGACGATCTCACTGCATGCCACGGATGGGGTCTCGCAGAGACAGGGAGGCAGGCAGTGCCAGACTACCAGTATCACCTATACGATGTACTGATGGTCACCGTCGTCTCTATGGAGAGGTACAGTGCATTGTAAAGTCTGTCAAACAACAGTCTCTCCGAGCCGGTATCGTGTATCTATAGCTCGCGGTAGCTGTTTGTCAGTAGCGCCGGTTGTGGAGTGGTTACATCCATGACTGCTTTAACCAGTATAGGAAAATTGTGTAAGTGTGTGTGTGTATGCATAGGTAGTCGCTGTATGTTGTGCTTCTTGTGCAGGGGTACATTCCAGGATTGTGCAAGGTGTTGATTGACCAAAATCGCAAGTACTGGTATCTAAGTGTGGTTGCTAGGCAGGGGGTTGGATTGTGGGGTGTCGGGTGTGATTAGGGGGTAGTGTGGTAACTGAAGTGGTTGTAAGGCGTTGTGCTGTGTCTCGTGCCGATGTAGTATACGATACAGCCCTTAGGCCCAAAGGCTAGTTGAGTGATACCGCGAGGTACACTACAGTGTAGCGCTCGGGTATATTTGTGTAGCTGAGATAGACCACGTGTCACTGGGCGGTAGCTGCAATAGACCCTAGTAGAAATGCAAGGCCGCCGGGATGCGAAATGTGCTATTTTGATGTTTGGGGAGCCTCGTCTTACTATATCTGTCCCTAAATTTATTAAACAGTTGAAGGCGTATGATAGGAAGCTGAGCTGTTTAATAATCGTAAAGAAATTGTATTTGGTTCAGACTTCTTTGAACAGTTAAAGGCGTATAATAGGAAGCTGAGTTGTTTAATATTCGTATTCAGACTGAGGGGTTCCATCGAAGAGTTGGCGTGTTGTCAAGATTTACCGTAGGATTATTCTCTATTTAGCGCAAATATCCGCAGTGCAATAGTACGTAATCTGCTGCAACTGTGCTTGCAAAGACTTACGACAATCAGCTATCATATGCAGTTTCTTTGATCATTAACTAGCATCACGCCGTATATCGGAATGTTTGTGATACTACACGTCTTGTTTAAAATATAAACCATTCGCACACGACCCCTCTCTTTCAGCTCCCGAAGCGTCCAATTATATTGTCCATCTCCTCCATGTGGCGTGCACTTGTCGCTCACTATCACGCCAGGCCTTCTTTCTTCCGCAACCACACAGCCGACAGTATCACTCGTAGACTGCATACTGTGTGCGGCTGTGTCCCTTCTCAGTGCAATACCGGACAACGTTTCTGTCCACCGATCTTTGATTGTTTTCATGTATTGTTCATTCTGCTATCTGTTGTATGCTATACGTTTTGCATTCCATATATTTTGCATGCGTTATAGTACGCAGGTGAGTGCATTGTTCATCATAATTGTTGTATGCTTTTCCGCATGTAGGTGTTCCGCCGCAGTTGGGCAAGCACGCGCACGTGATCTTCTAATCGTCGCCGACCGCGTGGTAGGCAATGTGGGCCTGAAACGCGCCTCTGCGGCTAAAGCAGATGTCGTGATGATTCACAATAAGGACTTTCTGGAGACGACTTTGGTCATATACGACAATCGGGAGCGGACGTAGATGCGCAGGGGTACGACTACATGCTATAGAGCAAGCATATCCCATACAAAGCAAGCTGGTACGGACTTAATATACGGATCCCAACAAATCTGACCGTGGTATCCCACTAGGCCAAGTATCCAAGAGCACCATGGCATAGACGTTGCCATTGCAACTGCAACTCGTGGGATGTGTGTCATAACAACCGCAAACTCGTATGAAGTTATCCATAGCCAAGGCAACTCAAAATAAGCAGGTCGCCACTGAGGGAGTAGATATCCACGCTACTGCAAATTTCAGACGATCACCGGCTGGATCACAGACAACGCAAAAAGCAAAAAGAAAATACCAGCATTCTGATATACTCGGGATGAACATTTCGTGAGCAATCGTCTGTAGTGGCCTGAGAAAACGATTGTAGTTGAGACACAGAAGTTTACACTAGGCGAAATCAATTGTATTGTGCACCAGATTTTGGTTAAATGCATGAACGTATGAAATTGTGAATGAGAATGCTTACAACTACACAGGTCTTCAATTTCCAGCTAAAACTATTGATCCGAGATCACGTGCGTGCTGCACGACTTGGGTATGATTTGAATGATACTACTGGAGTACGAGCAAATCAATGCATAGTACAGATTTTTAAATTCGCAGTCTGGATCGTTCCGTTTTGTTGCCGTACTGCTGATATCAGATCACGTGCTGCACGACTTAGACATAATTTAATTAATACTGTGGATGTGTGCATATATGCTAACTTGGTAGACACTTCCTAATTTCGATGTCGGGGATCGCACCTACTGAAGTGGCCAGAACACGCACTACACAAATGCAGATGATACTACGAAAGCATAAAAATAAAGACCTCGTATCCTCAATGTCCGGAATATTCTTATGGCTGTCCTACTGTGAAAACCAGAACACATACTGCATGAATACAAGCAAATGTCATATTCTAGATATCATGAGCCCCGCCCGTGTTCCGCTTTATTCCCAAGGCTGAACTTCAGTATACTTACAAGCTACTCCATCACAACCGCGCTGTCTCTACCCGGACTCCCCGTCTTTCCAATAAATATCATCATTGAATGTCAATTGTCTACGTTGTCTTTCCCTGAACATTCTGGCTGAAATAGCCCTCGCCATTAGTTGTTGATGGGCCCCCCTTCGGATTGTGCGTTGCTTTGTATTATGTGATTGTATACTAGTGTCTGAATCACTACTACTATATGCCAACTATGGTGGCATTGAATCACTTCCTTTACTACTAGCGTAACGACTATCCGTCTGATTCTGTTCACTATCCTGTAATACTTCATTTTCTTCTTCCTGATTCTTTGTTAATTCCTTCATATCATTATCTGTTCTTTGAGGAAAAATTATATTACTAGCTAAGCCGTGATATAGCTCCTCCTCAACTGCCGCACCCAGCTACTCCTCTAGTCACTTCTTGCGGCAATTAACCGCAATGTGACCATGATTGTGGCACCGGAAGCACTTGATACTCTTCAAGCGCTGCTTGAACTCACGATCCGTGTCGTCTCACGACAACTCGACTCAATTTTCATCTTCTGATGCCTGGGACCTCGCGCGTCTACATGTCACGGGCAAGACGTACCGCGGCTCCTTAGTGTTCTTGTCAAACAACTTGCACAAATCCTTTTGCGTCTCCTTACGTTGGTTCTTCAACTGAGAACACAAGTCGCTCAACGCCGCCATTGCTCTATCCACGAAATATCGATCCCCATGTGAAGCCTCTTGCGGTGTAGGATCAGTCTTGACCCCCTGCGTCCCAGCATGAGCACACTCTTCTTTAAGGAACACCAAGACTTGCGTCAAACCTGCGAACCTATAACTTTGTCGGATATGCGCTCCTATGCGCTCGTCCTTCGCAAATAGCCGCTCTAGGAAAAAGTCGATAGAATCATGCACTGTGTCCAAACTAGGAATGACAGCCTTGTCATTCACCGGCTCCACCTTCACCAGTCCCAGAAAGAAGCCTGCATGGGGACTGGGGAAACATTTTAAAATATGGCTAGCAATAACGCCCTCCCTCCTCCCTTGTCGACATATTTGCTGCCATCCCAAGGTGTTCACGCATATTCTGAGCCATGTCATCTACCGTCTTAAAATCAACCAACGTAGCACCTGAATCCACTACACCTACCTTCGCCCTCTGTTCGACCAACGCGTCGACATCCTGCCGAGCCTTGCCCCAAGCTCTTGGTCCGATCCTCCCGCATCCGCCATCTCCATACCAAACAAACCAGCCGTACCACTAGCAGCTCCTTCTTCGGCTTGGCGATCCCTCAGCCGAGAGAGGTGATGGGCCATAATCACTCACGTCCCATAAGTCTGAAGGGTTTAGAGCATGCACTCGATATTCTCCGGCGACTTGACGAACTGACCAGCCAAACGATTAGCCATCTCCAACATAGAGTTACGTGGCTGAGTAAACAGCATACTCAGCATCTGATTCTGCTTCGCTAAAATCACCGAGTCTACCATGCCGACCTCCATCCATCGCTCTCCCAACTCCATTCGCACGCTTGCCAGGTCCGCCGTAGTGAAGCTGTGCGAGTATCTGGAAGATACGAGACAAGGGAATACAATAGACCTCTTCTCAAGTACAGTTATCTCAGCTGGGAAAAGTCCCTAGTCAGAGAGAACTGAACTGAGTCTTTATTTGTGTTTTCACTAGCCTCGGATTTACTTGAGTGTTTCTCTCACACGCGGGAGTCCCGGTATAGTTTACCGGTTCTACTGCTAATATTTCTGATGACTCCAATATCAGAAATGTTCCATTCCTAATTCCAAAACTCAGTATTTGATTAATCTGGGTTTTGGGATTTGTATTGGCCTTTGATAATCTGGTCCCTAGATGCTACAGCCCCTCAACTTTATGCTTCTTAGCCTGCGTAGAGTTGAAAGTGACATCTTACGGTAATAGATTATCTAGAGGTTGGTGTTTGTATACAGGAAAAAACTTGTCCCTTAGGGGGCATAAAATGAAAAACCTGCCACCATTATCTCTTACATATTACCGATTAATTAAATTTATACTATAACAGGAGTCCTCTACCACGCTCATCGGAGTCAGCCTTGACCGGTGCTCTTGGTTGATCTCAACTTGGCTTAGGAAAACACATCTCAACGGTGGCTCTACAGCCGAGTCTCTGGTCCTTGTCCCTCTGGTGTGTGGGGGGAACATGCTTCTAGGCGAGAAAAGTGGGAGTGTCCTATGGTATCAGTGAGACTTGCTTAGGTCCCCCGCCTTGTGCGCTGTCTGTGGCTCGCTGATCTTTCATCAGTGCTCGTTGTCGCTGGCTTCTTTGGCCTTGACTGCCTCCTTTTACGTCTCCGGCGTTGACGGTACGTTGAAATGACATCAGCATCTGCGATGTCTGATTCATGCGTCCAGGTACGCTTAACATCTGTCCATCGTAGTAGGTGCTCCTAGGATCCATCACCTCGGATGGACGGCCTGTCGTCGACTATCGATGAGAACTGAGTCTCTTCGTTTGGTTGTACGTGATCGTTGGAAGAAAATGCTTTTTACAAGGCCAAGTAACTCATCACCGATCGAGTCAGGATACTCGGGGGCTTTGGTCCCATCAAGGTTACAAACAAAATACCTGTTACCCTCCCTGCATACTATTTTGTATGGTCCGCCATTTGGTGCTGTTAACTTGTTCATTTCACCTTGATACCGGACCATGACAAGGTTCCCTTCCTGGAAGTTTACATCCTTCTTTTGGTATTTTCGATCGTATGCTGCTCGCATCTTCTCTTGATACTGTGCAACATTGCTCTCTAGTTGTGGCCTAATGGCTTCTTCTGGATTTTGCAGTCGCTCTACCCAAGATACTGTCGTACTGGGTGCGGTCACTGGCTCTTTGTAGTCCGTGAGTTGGTTCTGTCTGCGACCAAAGTACACATTAAAGCGCGGAGACTTCTGTCTTTTGGACGTACGCAGATTATGGCCCATCTGTACGATTGGAAGTCGTGAACACCAGTTATCTGGATTCTGTTCAACGAATTTCCGTAACAGTGGCATGAGGTCTCTATGTGATCGTTCGTTCGCGCCTAAGACTTTAGGTTGATACGGCCCAGGGACTAGGTGTTGCATTGGCGCTTGTCCAACAACTTTTGAGAGTATGCTGATAACATATTCAGTGCCTTGGTCCGTTTGTATGATTTGTGGAAATCCATGTTCACATATGATTAGTACCAGTGTGCGTGCTATAGTAACCGCGGATTCGTCCATGACTGAGTATACGTCAAGGTATACTAACACGTATGTGTGTCCTCTATTGGAATCCAATAGTGGCCCTATGGTGTCCACTTGGACTCTGTCGCTTGGATATGCGGCTGTAATTGATTGTATGGGGTGAAATCCCTTCTTGTGTATTTTATTTTTGAGACATGGTATACATCCGTCAATGAACTTGTGTACATGTTGTTGGATATCAGCCAAATCATGTCTATCTGTTCGCAACCTGTGTACTGTTTCCTCAGGAGTGTAATGTCCCAAGTTGTGGTATTGCTCAATGATGTTGACACGTGTCTCATATTCTGTTGCCTGTGGTGAATCTCCAGAGTGAACTGGTTCCGACACTGCAATGTGTATGGCAGGTTGTTCCCGCGTTGAATCGAAGTATGGAGACTTGCGACTAATGTGACACCCCATGGGGTCTTGCCGCAAGCCTTCGTGCCCTCTACGAGGAACGTGTTGCTAGTGTTGTCCACTAGCATTGGGTCTTCTTCTAGTAAAGACAGGAACTTCGGAAACCACGAGGCATTGGGGTAGTATGGTACACATATCGTGATGCTAGTTGCCTCTTCAATGACTTTGTCAAGGACATCAGATATGAGTTCCCATGGTGGATTCGTCCATGCATTAACTTCTTGCGCCCATTTTTGTTTTAGCGCATTCTGTTCTTTGGTGTAGTATTTATCTGTGTGCGCATTGTGTGCCGATGCAAACAGATCTACTGTGAACTTCTCAAACCTTCTTTACGCTTCTTGGTAGAATCTGGGATGTAACAAAGGTGGTGTACTCTTGGCTATTATGTATTGCCTCATTCGCCTGTTGTAATACTTTTGACTCTTTGGTACTAAAAATATCTTCATGTAGACGTGACAACATATCTGCCATCTGGTTGTCCTTGCCTGGGACATGTATGATAGAGAAGTGGTGGTGGAACGTTTTTGCTATTCACTTGGCTAGCATTGGGTATAACGTCTGTTGACAGTTCATTTGCATGAGCGCTTTGTGATTTGTCCGCAGTGTTATGTCCCCCTCATTGATGTATTCGGAGAAATATTCCAGGCTATATACCAGTGCTAGTAGCTCTTCGGTATTCGTGCCATAGCGTTGTTGTGCTGGATTCAAGCGTTTTGAGAGGTAGAGAATGTCCCTTCTGACTCCATCGATGACTTGAAATAAACACCCTCCTATGCCATAGTCGCTAGCATCGTTCATAATTTGAAACGGTACCCCATCAACAGGGTATGCTAGCGTCGCTGAACAGGCGATGGCTTCTTTGAGTTCTTCCCACTTCTGGATTAGTTCCGGTGTCCATAACATGGATATGTTCTGGTTCATTTTTTCCTTTCATTAGGTTCCGAAAGTGTTTCATTGTGTGGGCAAAGTTGGGGACATGGTCTCGCATGTAATTTGCTAGTCCCACTGCTTTGTGTAGATCTCTTTTGTTCTGGGTAGTGGCCAGTCCATCATTCTTTTCTGTGTCTCAGGGTCTGCTTTGAGGCCCTGTGTGGTGACTTTCACCTCAAGAATGTTGACCACTTTGACTGCAAAGGCACACATGTTGTGATTGAGTCGAAAGTTCGCACTATTGAGTCGCTTGATTACTTCACGGACTGTCTTGCGGTGTTCTTCTTCTGTAAGACTCACAATGACTATGTCATCTACATACACTTACACTCCTTTGATATCTATGAGCATATATGCCATGACTCTCTAGAATTGTGCTGTGAGTGAGTGTAGTCCAAATGGCACCGACTTGAATGAGTATTGCGCTCCTCTCCACGAGAATGTGAAGAAGTGTTGGCTTGCTTCGTCCACTAGGAAGTGGTGAAATCCTCCTGTGAGATCGAGCTTTGAAAAGAACTGTGCCCCTTGTAGGTTGTGTAATACTTCCTTTATTTTTCATAACACAAATTTGTCTTGTTCATATTGGTAATTGATATCACGTAATTCTAAGCATGTCCTTAATTTTTTGAGTAAACCCGTTTGGTCATGTTCACCTGTTGATAGCAACGGTAAATGAAGCCATCGTTGCACATTCTCACCGTTTGTGGAATGTATTTGTGTGGAACAAAGTTGGCTTTGGCGTGCCTCATTTGTCTGACGTTGATTTCATTTGCAGGTACCGTGACTGTGAAGCCTGGTAGGTTTCAGTGAACGTCAGGAGGTATATTCGCGTTGGTGTCCAGGAGGTCTGTAAGTGACTCTTTGAAACCTTCTTGTTCATGCTCTGGGTCCTCTTCATGTGGTGTGAGGAGCGATTCCCATTCTGCATCTGTTGGTATAAGTGGGTTGATTAAACCCGCTATATATATACCTATGTATGGTAGAATTTCCATACCTAGAAGTATTGGTGTTTTCTTTTCAGGCAAGTCCAATACTTCAAAACACTGAGAGGTCTTTCTGCCTCCGTAGTTAATGTCACAAACTTCTTTTGATCCAGTGCGTTGTATTCTTGCATCTATTTGTGCTAGTTGTATGTAACCCGGTTGCGCTCTAACTGACAGATATAGTACTGATATTACACTTTTGTCCATACATGAGCGTTGTGCGCCGGAGTCTACTAGTGCATTGTTTGTGTTACCATTAATTTGTATGTCAATGTATAACCGTTGGTCTCGTGGTGCTGTAAGTAGCGATAAAGGTTGATAATTTATATCATTTGCATTTATTAACAACGTTTCTTCATCTGTAAATACATTGAGTCTGTCAGCCAGGTCAATGATGTTTGCTTCCACCACCAGGGATATCTTTTGCAAAGGTGCGCGCTTCCCACCCCCCCCCCCCCCACGTCTTTAGTAATAATACTTATAAAATAAATAAAAGTTGTATTTGTTTTACTTACTGTTATAGTGTTGTTGCCTCGTTGCACTTCCGCTGGAAGTGTTTACCGTGGTGTATGGCTCGGTAGCGCGTTGCTTGATTCCCTATATTTATGAGGGAGAAACCGGTGTTTTATTAATAAAGCTTATTCCGTTATGTGACGTCACTGATGCTTATTCCGTCATGTGACGTCACTGGTGCTTATTCCGTCACGTGGGAACTTAATGTCACCAGTGTTATT